TTATAAATATAAGAAGTTTAAATTGACTGCAACGATGGCAGATTTGGAAGATTATAGAAGATCAAGAGAGTTGGTCAAATGGAAAGTAAGAAATCAAAATACTATATGAAAAATGGTTGACTGAAAATGTAGAAATAAATAATAAGGATTTCTTCAAATGCATTAAGAGTAAGCAAGATGTTAGAATGGGAGTTGAGCCTTTAAGAGATGACACTGGAGAGTTAATATCTGATGATTATGGGATGACTTGGTTATGAAAGATTGGAAAGCTTAAACAAATGGTAAAGTACCTGGGCCAGATAATATCTATCCAAGGGTTTTGAAAGAGGTTAAAGATTGCATATGTTATCTAGTTGCTACTATTTTTTTGTACTATCTGCGCTAGCCGTCCCTAATTTAGCAGTGTAAGACTAGAGGGAAGGCAGCTAGTCATCACCACCCACCGCCAACTCTTGGGCTACTCTTTTACCAACGAATAGTGGGATTGACCGTCACATTATAATGGCCCCACGGCTGAAAGGACGAGCATGTTTGGTGGGACGGGGACCTCTTTATAAAGGAGGAGATAAATATTCTATCAGTAATTATTGGCCTAGTAATCTTACATAAGTGGTAAGAAAATTTTTTGAAAATCTGATGAAAGATCCTTTCCAATTTTCTTTAACCAAGTTTAATGTTATTGGATAACCAGCATAGTTTCACTAGAGGAAAATCTTGTCTTGTTAATCTTTCGATATTCTTTGGAGAGGTTACTGCTTAGATGAGGATATAAGGTGTAGACGTATAACATTTAGATTTTTAGAAAGCATTTGACAAGGTATAACATTCACACACTTTACTTACGGTGCCTACTGTTCACTTGACTCAATTATCTATCTCTTCAATCTATCTGCTGATCTATCTATATCTCTTCAATCGTGCTGGTTTTTCTCCTCAGGATTATATACTAAAAAAAGAGGGCGCCTCGAACAAACTTGAGTTGCCAGGAAAATTTATGATCCTTCCAGAAACTCCACATTCTCCCAGCGTCGCGTGACTTCCGCTGTCGTAACACTATCATGTGTCTCAGACCTTGTCTCAAAGCTCAATGATTGAACCAATCACTTCAGGGACTATCGGTGACATTAATTAGAGCCCATTACAAAGTTAAAAACTTATCAAAATATCTTATTCTATGGACTCACCATTTAGAAAAAGGAAATTTTGAAACATTTTGATACTGGAATAATTAAAATAATGATACTCTTTCTTCTCATTTATCTAAAAGTATCTATTCTCAAAGAATAACGCCAAAATTACTTTTCTGAAAACCAAGAGATGTGCTATTGGATCTGGGATCTATGTTTAAATGTGTTACACCGAAAATTTGATGGACCTGTCTTCTGATGGTGGTTTGAAAAAATTCAAAAATACAATGTTAATAAATTTTTGGTTACAGGTCAGAAGTGAATATACAGACTTGTGAGATATCGCAGTAAAAGTTTTGATGCCATTTGCCTCCTATATGTGTGATGCAGGGTTTTTAGCACTAGTGGCCATAAAAGGTAATTCTAGATCTAGGCTGGAAGCAACATCTAGTATGAAACTGAAACTGATAAATATTATGCCAGATATAAATAAGCTTTGTACTAAAAGACAAGCGCAACTTTCTCACTGGTGTAAATTAACATGAAAAAGCTATTTTTTGTTTTTAATTAGAAATGCTCAATTAAAATTTCTTGTTTAAACCCTAAACATTCTTTATATGCTCTGCAGGAAGTTAATCTTTAAGTACGTTTGTAAAAAAATTAAAAAATTAATATGCAATAAAAATATAGCAGAAGTCACGTGACACTGGTAACACGAAATGAGTATCTAGAAAGATCGAGGAACCTATCAAACGTCCTAGTGTTTGCTAGATACGCCCTCTATTTTCTATATAGAAGACCGACGAGAAGTGACGGCAGACATAGAGATATAGATAATTGAATACAGACAGAGACGGACAACTGAGTCAAGGGTGGTAGTAAAGTGGATCGTGACTTTCCGGATAAAATGTGGCCGGCGAGGTAAGCCAAAGGTGGTGCATGCCAACAGGCTTTGGCGTTATCACGGTCCAGGACATTTCAGTTGGGACGAAATTAACAATTTAACAAAAGATGCCACTGAAGATGTATCACCTGGAAAAGCCATTGTTGAAGAAGAAGCTCTACTCAGTTTGAGAAGGGAAACAGTGAAGCCCTTGATGAAGTTACTACCACTGATGTGGTTATTACCGATAATAGGACATTTCCTGATGGAGCAGATGAACTTTATGTGAAGCAGAAGCCAACGAGACAGAGACCAGTATAGAAAAAGATATGTCCCGTAAAATTAAAAGACTGTGTTGAATTTTAATTTTGTATTTGTAGTGTTTGTAAATTCTGTACATTTAATTAAGTTATTGTTAATTATCTATTGGTTTGATTTAAGTGACTATTGTTCGGGACGCTGGTAACGTGACGCTGGTAACACGTAATGAGTATCTAGAAAGATCGAGGAACCTGTCGAACGTCCTAGCATTTGCTAGATACGCCCTCTATTTTGTATATATATGACCAGCGAGAAGTGACGGCAGACATAGAGATATAGATAATTGCAGACAGACAGAGACGGACAATTGAGTCAAGCGCGGTAGTAAAGTGTGTGAATCGTTGTGAATTATAGCGTGTGTTTAAGTTAAAGTGACTGTGGAAATTAAGTGTATTGCAAAGTTGTATTGAGAGGGAATAAACTAGTTTTATTTAAGAAAGGACTTGTGTCGCTGAAGTTTGATCAGAAATAAATTATACGTAAATTAACAAACGAACAGAGACGTAACAATATGGTTAATGGTGGTCCACGGTTATATTATGTTTTGGTAGGAAATCAGCAAATGCGAAAAGGTTGAGAACCTCTGGATTAGAGGATACAGATAAATGTTTGACTGCTTGGGAACCATTCATCTCCAGCTAATATAGCTTTATTTTTCTAACAGAGTTGTCTTCACACGTGGTGGATAGAGAAAATTTAAGTGAATTTATAGGAAGGCTTAATAAATATTTGAATGATAAAGGCTGTCTGAGTTTTTTGTTTAGATGGGATGGCCTAGATGGACTAACCGGTTCCTTGATGCCTTTGCATTTTATGTTAGATTAAAATAAAACTTGAGAAAATGTTTTACTAATTTAAATGATCAAAATTAAAATCAATTTGTACAACAATTAATATTTGGTAAGAAACAACACATTTAACATACCTGAAATATCTTAAAGTTCCCAGTCATCATGGCTATACTTATGTTATATATAAAAATGATAATCTGTTTCAATATTTGTAATTTCATACCAGAACATCTAGTCTAGCTTACAGTTATCATGGTTATAAAAGTATTAAGCAAAATAATTGTAAGAAAGAATCCAACTGCTGCAATAAAGACATGATTTGTTTCAATATCTGTAATACCATACCTGCACTCTCTTATAACTCCCTGTCATCATAGCTATTAGCATGTTTAGCAAAATAATAACAATGGTAATATGGTAGAATCCCCACAAAAAGTAACCAACTGCTTCAGTGAAAACATGATCTGCTTCCATATTTGTCTGGTTTCCGGAAAGGACTATATCAGCAGCTACAGATTGTTCGGTGCCAAAAATTGCCCAAAACAATGTTTTGAAGGTCTTTTGTATTCTACAAAATAAATAAAATGATTAGATCTCTAGTTTTAATTCACCAGTTCAATTTTATCCTAATAAAATGATTAGATCTCTAGATTTAATTCACCAGTTTAGTTTTATCCTAATAAAATGATTAGATCTCTAGATTTAATTCACCAGTTTAGTTTTATCCTAATAAAATGATTAGATCTCTAGATTTAATTCACCAGTTTAGTTTTATCCTAATAAAATGATTAGATCTCTAGATTTAATTCACCAGTTTAGTTTTATCCTTACTAGTCACTTCTATGAACTTGAATTTTCATTTCCTCATACTGCTTTCTATGAATATGTTTACATTGGAACAACTTGTGAAATTATTTTACCAAAGTTGAAAAGCTTAGGATATTATGTTGCAAATGCTGAAATCTTGCTTTAACCAACTGTCAAATATAAATGAAATTTACAATTTTTAGATTTCAAAAGTTACAGAAATTTTGGTAATGAAACTTTTTAATTTACCAAGTTAAAACCATATTCTGGAGGAACAAGGCAAATTTTTCCTTATGTAATTCTTAGTAGGAAAATTATAATTTTTTACAACATGGTAGCTGTTAAAGCAATGCACTTATGCATATATCTGACTACTATCATCTATATGATCTATAATGAATAGAAAACAAAGTTCTAACACTAATGTAAGATTGACAGTAACTAATACTAATTAATTTGTGGATATTTTGAAGTATGATTGGATAAAGAAAATTTTCACTTTTGCTTCTAATTCTTTAGTTTTATATTAATAATATGATCAAAAGCTTTTCATCAGTAACTGTCGCATGTTCAATGGCTTTTAATTTCCAGCATTTATCACCTTATTTACACTGCTAGTCATGCATTTTTTTTCATTTTCATTTTATTTTACTTTAACTTCGCCTTCACAACCTGGAAGACATAATATAATTGCACATGGAGCATGAAATAAACAGTTCTTTGTTGTGCTTTCCAAACTTGCATGTTCCTTCTCTTCTACACATATTCTCACATAAACGTTCCATCTAGCCAAATCTTTGAAACTCTTTGTTACAGATGGGTGGTTTGCCTGTGTGCCTCTTTCCTCAGAAATACTATAATGTTTACATATCAAATTATACTGTAATACATAGATTAGGCTTGGTCTACATACTCTTAAATACTAACAATGCACTATCTTCATAAAATATATTGTTATGTATCTGCTTGTTTGTTTGTTTCCGGTAGAAATTCTTTCCAAGGATCTTCAGCAATACAAGTCCTTTCTTTATTAAACCAATTTATTTTTCCTCTATACAACTTTTAGTACACAGAAGTTCCACAACTAGTACGTTTCTTGTACTTTAAACTTAACAACTTTTATAATACATGCTATAAATCACAGGGATTCACAATCTCGATAACTTCGCTCTCAACATGTGCAAAACACACACTTTACGGCACACTAGCTCGAAACTAACAGAATCATAAATTACACGGAACTCAAATTAACTCCTGCTCTTTGTTCATTCACATAAATCCCCGTGCTGGCTTTCCCCTGCCAGGCTTATGTACTAACGAAGAGGGCATCTCGTGCACCACCAGCGTCACATGACTTCTGCTTTCATAACAATATGTTATTTTAATTAAGATGTCTGGCTTGTCTACCTTGCATTAAAAACTTAATTATACAATGTGTGAGATATGTTAATTGAGCCTGAAATTAGAAAATTAATAAATAATGACTGAAGTAGTATAATTAATAAGTGAAATAAGTCGAACAATAAATTAGAACAACTTACAAAATGAGCTTTTTTCAGCAACAATAGATGTATGGTTCACACAAATAAACTGAATTAAGTTAAGAACAATGGGATAGGTCCAAGAATTACATATTTGAGCAGGATAGTTAGAATGAAGAAATAATACATTTATGAATAACTGAGTCATAAGAATGAATGAAATATGGAAACCGAATATAAAGTGAAACATGAAATACACAGTTTTTATTCATATGACATTTAACACAAACACAGTGTGTACACTTGTTTTACTACCACGGGATAATTACCTTTGCTCGATGTTCAATTGTTGAGGCAGAACTCAAATACCAGACTGTCTAAATCCAACATTCCTTACCTTGCAAGAAATTTTTAGTTTACTCACAATGACCAGGGGAAGGTTAAGGATCACATGGGCCCAAAAGTGCCAGTGCATTTAGCCTGTTTTGGCACATTGATGATTGAATTGTGTTCTTTATCATTTTTGCACTGAGAATGATCTTTCTCCTGAGCAATTGCTTATCACAACTAACAGATACACCCTTAAGATTAGCAGGATGTTTGGGAAAGTTGACTTCATAGATTGGTCACATATAATTTTTAGCATACTTTGTTCCTTGGATTCTGATGGTTATTTAATGAACCCTGTATTGCAGAGGACAGTAAATTGAACAATTTCTTCCTCTGTGCAACTGTCCAAGTCTGTAAGATACGTACTAACCAGCTTTTTGGTGGCATTGTGGAGCTCCCCTGTAGGCATGGGCTCTTAAGTTTCATAGAAACCCAAATTTGCAACTGACATTTTCATATGCCACTAATCTGTTGTCTAGTGCAAGTGACAATTTGTTAATTAGTGTTAACAAAGTCTGAACTTTATATTGAGTAGAGGGTGAAAAATCAATGTATCAGCATCCTCATCATCCCATCATGTATATCTCTTCCTTTTCTTTCATCTTTCAACCTTATGTCTCGTATACTGAGAGTTGTTTACTCTTTTCCTCATATTCGGAAAATTAATGTTGTAATTCCTGCACAAATGTTTTGAGATATTAACAGATTAGAAGCTGTACTGACATCCATTTGGGAATTTTGTAATAAATAACTTGTATTGTGAAATTTCTCCAGCACTCCACAATTCTATCATTATACTTGTTTGTAGTTCCAATTGTAGTATAAGGCTTCTTGACACTTGAGGCTTTTCAGAGTCATTATCTGTAATGGAAGTAAGGACTTGCAATATTATGACTTTGTATCCCCTATTTAAGGCTTCTATTGCATCTGAATTGGTACTCCATCTTGTGTCTGAAACCTATTTATTGTTGGGAACCCTAGTTTTTCAAGTATATCATGTAGGCACTTCCACAGACAGTGTGAAGCAGAGAAAACACATAAAACTTCTTCATAATGGCAAAGAATAAATTACCTTCAGTACAACAATCCGTAGTGCATTGTCCAAGCAAATGAGCAGATCAGGGAACATTGTTTCCTAGGGGTTTCTTCTCTTTGATAAAGTCTTGCATGTTAACATATTTGCCATTCATATTGGATGCATTGTCGTAAGACTGCCCACAGCAATCTTGAATTCTTATATCATTCTTTTCAAGGAAATTAATGAGAACTCTAGCAAGTTATGCTCCTGTGTGATTGCATATCAGTAATAGTGTGGAAAATCTCTTTATAGGGTCATCATCTAAAATGTATCTAAATATTATTGTCAGTTGATCCATTTGGGATATGTCTGGAGTAGAATCAGACACTAAATGATACTTGGATGTTTTGATTTCCTGGATAATGGCAGTGAGAAATTCTTTGTGTAGGATTCATATGAATTCCTCACAAACAGCTGAGAATAAGTATGAAACATGACATTTTCCCTTATTTATGCATTTTTTAATGTGTTTAGCAGGAAATGTATCATACTCAACCAACAGCTCCAGGCTTCCTAACTAATTTCCATTATGCACTGAACAAAAATACTTCAATGAATGGTAGTCTGTGGATGATAGACACTTTATGACTGAGAGAGTATGCTATAGAACTTGGTGCCAGGATTTTTGTCTGACTCCATCTGCTCTGGTAATGTTTGGCCAATTTGTACACTTTTGGTTTTACGAATAACAAATTTGGTGATGCAACAACTTTGATGCAGTGAGCTTGTTTTGTACCAACTAAAGTCCCTTGAAGCATGTTTCCAGTCAGAGTAACCAAATGTTGCTAGCAAAGAAGTTTCCATTGCTGTTTGAAACAATTTGCATATAATGCTGAAGATGTTCCCCTTCGATAGTGAGTAGCAAAGCTAGTCTCTTTTAACCTTCTCTCCATTTAATTGCTCATGACGATAGAGTCTTTTAGCATTGGCATTTATATTTGTTACCCGGAATTGATTTTGTAGATGCACTGAAATCCACATCCAAGTACTAGCAAAAAGTAATTTCTGACACATAAACAAAACCTCATTTCTTCAGAAACTTGTGTCCATGTTCTAATATCGAATGTAAAGGATGGGTTAGTATCATCATCACCATTGCAATAATTGATTTCTTCCTGTTGGTAAGGCCTCAATTCAGTTTGATGAGATTGGCTGTCATCAGCATTAGAGTTTTAGTCTCTAATTTATTATGTTTTCGTAGTCATGACTGGTGGTTATGTTTTTGGCACTTTATAATTGATGGCAAGGGCTTGATTTGATATGACGTGGTTGTCTGTCATCGGCATCCAGAGATTTAGTGTTTACATTGTTGTTTTCACTTTCTTGGTTGGTGAGGGTTTTGGCATTAGAGGAACAAAGCCAATAAATATATTAGTTTCCTAGTTTTAGTTACCACTTTCTTTAATTTTTTCTTCCTCAATAATTGAGTACTTGTATGCGTATGAAAGAGAGAGAGTGATGTCAATACAAACAACCTAATGATTTCATAACAAATGATCACACATCTTAAAAATTTAAACTTTTGTACTTGGATGACATGTATTCTATACCCTCCATTTAATGATACTTGTCAGTTGCAAATGAATTATTTACAGCTGAGAAATGGACCAATGTAGGCCCACAAGTAATTACGATTTTTATGGAATAATAATTTGCAAATTCTGTTTAAGAAATACAAACAATTGATATAATATACCCTAAAAGCTTAAAATACTGTTTTTACCTTGTTAGCAATGATTGAACTCTTTTTCTTGAACAAAATTCAAAGCCTTTGAGATTAAACAATCAAAATATATAGATACCTTCAATCTA